TATGGAGAACATTAAAGAGCACTTCGCAGTTTACTGTTGACACAGCAATCATGAAATTGAGTAATTTAGATAAGCCGTATGTGAAACAGTACTACTATCTTCATTGTGACAGTACTCATTCACACGTCTCGGCTTTAGTACTAAAAGAGAAACTGAACGACCTCAATTAGAAGAACTATCTTGGACGCATCGCGTTCGTCAGATTTATTTCTGATTTTCTACGGTTTCAACAACAGATCCCAAACAATAGATGCGATAAAATAGAGAAATAATCTTCGAAAACAAAAGATTTTCCGATTTAATGTGCGTAAGGAAACGCGGTAAAGGAAAGAAATAAGAGAACGAACGCACTGTGGTCGCAATTTTTCTGTAATTAAGTATTAGAATGTAATTTTTAGTTCTTTGCACACGACTACTACTGTTATGGCAACATATGTACTTTATTAAAGAAACTCTGATATTTTAGAAAAATTTGTCAAAGTTTTTCAAATTTTGTTTTGGAAATTATATAAGTAACTTCTTTTATTATAGCTGCATCTGATTGATAAAAATATAGTTTTTTTTATTTTAATTGCTAGCTTTTGCAAGATTTCCAGCTTTGAGTTTACTTCAAAATTAGCAGTCTTTACGAAAATAAAAAAGAAATTGTTGAAGATATTGATTCAGCTATTTGCACTTCCAATTCTCGATTCACGACTTCTCGCTATCGCAACATCGACTTTCAGTTGACCAACTGCTATAATTATAAAGACAAATATCGTGTACCGAGCATTCGTGTACTCAATAAAATTTTAAAGTTCACGCGTTCTTCAGAATGAAAGTTTCAAAGGAAAGTTCAATCTTTAATTCTGATTTATCTCTGTACCAGATACTCTGGATTTATTTCCTCGCGTGGAATATAAATTTTATCAAAATTCAAAAATATTGCCTTTTTGTTTAATGGTACATGTAGCGGTAACGGTACTTCTCTGTACCTGTGAGAAAAAGAATTTTCGTTTTATAGCGATTCAACGTAAAATAGAAATGTTTCTTGTAACTCCGTTGACGTAACAGAGAATGTTCTTAAATTATACATTCGAAAAACGTGTACCCACCCGGCTGCATGTTTAATTTGAAAAGAATGTTTCTCGACTTCTGTCTCATTTTGCTGCAGGTTTTATGTTTATTTTATGACGTGTCTTCGTGTTTCTTTAACAGGACAAACCGAGTATAACTGCTTTTACTACATCTGTCAATTGCAATAATTTTCAAAAATTATTTTCAATTGGTACTTTTCTGTTTAAAATAAAGTTATATAATATAATTTAGTGATTTTCAGATTGCAATTAGTATCTGATAAAATAAATAGAAATTAAGCGAAGAATAACAGTATAAAACGTTAAATATTAAAATCAAGTTGTTGAGTACAATTTGTAAATTATTTATATTTACATAAATAATAATTATTTATTACTTAATTATTTTTACTTATTAATGAAAATGATATTACATCAATATAGTAAGCACTTTACTGTATATTGTGTAAGAATTATTAATAATAAATATAGTAAGTACTTGATTCCATAATAAATGAAGTAATGTAAAGAAAATTCTCGAGTAACTGGTTCGTTTCTTACGTTTTATCGGTAACTATAATAGTGATTTCGTAAAGTGCTCAAAGCGTAACGATGTCAAGTTCGGCTTCTGTTTCGCGCTAGTTTCGGGGTCGTTCCCACGCGAAACAGGCGGATACAATAACCTGTTGTATACCGTGAACGTCGCCAAACACGAATCTCCGATCTTCACGGGTCGCGAGCAGACAGAAATCAGAAAATATCTTCCCGGCCATTCGGTTAAAGTCATACCATGACGACCGGTAGTGGCGGTTCAACCGACACTTCCGGTGCGCGTACCTGCACGGCCGGAAGCCCGTTCCTCCCCCTTACATCCTGAGAATCGTTTATGCATCTTGTTTCGCCAATAACAATGACCCGCATTTCCAACTTTATGGCCACACGGTTTCCCGCAAACGATAAAGAAGAAAAATAACTCGACTGTTAATTGCATTTCGGTCACGTTCTAATGCGGAAGCGTTAAATGAACGCGAAATTTTCAGAGCAGAGTAATAGAAAAAGGTGAATAAGAGTGTTATGGCTATTTATTGCGTGAAACGGCTAGTTGTTTATGATTTTGCTTTTCTAATGTCGAACGCCGTTATAATATTATATTTATAAAACAAAATTATAGGATTTATCTGTCTTTCAAAATAATTTTTTTTTATGCCAGAAAAAGTATAGTTGCTAAAGGCAGTTAAAGATATACAGCTAACACATATATATTTAGATGAAACTAAGCAACAGAATAATTTTAGTTCAATTTTAAAAACTATGCTAGATATTTCTGTTATAGAAACATGCATAGCATCAAACTTTAACATTTGTTTTTCAATTCTGTATCAAAGGGCGCTTTAGAAACAGTACTCCTGCCATCTAACGGGGCGCGCAGAAATAAATGAAATAGAAAAACTCATTTTCTTTAAAATTAAATGATTTTTGAGCTTCATTTGTGCAAACAGAAAATTATATGATCATAACAAAACTTAAACAATGGCATCACAACAAGCTTAAAACATTATAGTGAAAATTTAAAAAATTGAGCTCGGTGGAGAAAGAAATGCTACAGCCATCTAGTGGTAGATCCTCCAAACTAACGAAGCCATATTTTATTTCTATTTTGTTTACTTGATTAAGTTCATAGAATCTTCCTGGGCAATAATATGTTTTAAATAAAAACATTAAAATACATTTGACACACTAAAAATAATTAAAGTTGATAAAAATGTATGGTACCGATAATAGAGCTCTGTAATTTCTTAGCGTTTTAAAAATGTGGCGCTGCAGTCGCATCTACTTTATCGACCACGAATTATCTAATCAATTCTTTTCAATTATTCATTTTCTCATATTCAATGATCAGTGATATCGTTAACCGAATTACATTATAGCTATAGACCGTTTTATCAGCATAAATTAAACTCAAAAGTCATTTGTTTTGTGGAAAAATTTTCTGTTCTCTGATTTCAGTGGTTGACCGTCAGATGGCAGGAGAGGTAGTGTTCCCAATGCGTGTTAGCCTCAACTGATATAGTAGAATGTGACATGAAAATGGTAAAGGGTTCTAAAACTCCAGTTATCGTATAACAAACAAATTTTAGAGTAAACTATACTGATTTTGACATTTTCAACTTTAGTAAGGATTCATAAGAATTACACCTTAATTTCTTTCTCACCTGGTGACACTTGTAAATTCAAAATTTGATTAAAATCTTTTTAATTGACAATTGAAAAGCTTGCTAATGATCCAGACTTAAACGAATCACTGTACATAGTTATAATAAAAACTGCTAAATAATCGAAACAACTTGATTGTCCCAAGAATAAACCATAGGATCTTCGCGAATTTAAGTTTCTCACGACATCATTGCAGCACGTGTTGTGCACATGAATTCATACATTTGGATGCCACGTGAAGAAATGGCAAAAAACAATCCTACTCCGGATGGTCGCGTTAAAAAAAGATAAAAAATGAAATTCGTATCCTGAGCTGCAGAAAGTAGATTTGTACCACTTTGAAATTCATGGCTTCAATTTTCCTCGACACTTCTATTCACCTTACCGCAAACAATAACTCACCCTATGCTACGTTCTACGTCACAATCCATCAACGACCTCGAAGACCCATTCAAAGACTATTTCCATTTCTACCAAGTCATAAGCCGTCCAATCATCAAATTTCTGCTATCGTTGACAAAGAATATCGTCAATCGTTGGATTCGAATCGATTAGCAGGGAAAAGGTGATCATACGATAAATGAATTCAGCGATCGTTTCCTGTCACGTCGACCCTTGACTTAGAACAGTTTAGCACGTGACTGGCAAGATTCTACCCCTCGAAACCGGCGAACCGAACATTTTACACACGAAGAAAAGAGCAGCTTACGATACTGATTGAAATTCAAGCAGCGCGTGTCGAAACGATTCGTCCTAAAGGTTTTTGCTACTAGTACCGTGGATGATGATGTCCATTTATCTTCGAGTCATTCAAGGCGGACAGTTTCAGACTTGCCTTGCACGTGGACCGTATCCGGACAAGTGAACGACATGATGTATTTATTAAATGGAAGCATCCCTAATCAATCACGTCGACTATTATTTTGTCTAATTCTTGTAAATCGAAAAATGATATCTCAGTATATTCCACACCCTTTGAATACTCTAGAAGGAAACTATGATATATTTTTAAAATTACAATTTTGCAATTTTTTTATGTAATTGAAATTATTTTCAATGACTATATCGATTTTGGTAAAATAGTAAATTATTAGTGAAAGGCTTAACAATTTTTAATAGCATCTAACGTGTTTCCATTATTTTATCCAACTGTATATCCGCTTTCAGTACTCTAAATTAAAAATAATAAAATTATAAAACTCTCAGTCTGGGAAAACATGAAAACCTTAAAATTTAGCTAGAAATTATAACACATTTAGTAGACAGCAGCAGAAGGTAATTTTCGACTATTCGAACCTTCTCTGAAATTTCTAATCAGACACGATGGCTTAATGAGATTACTGTTTCGCTGCGAGGCGCATTCTGAAAAAGCTTTTAACCTACGTTAAAATTTTCTCCTTTGAATAAAAGGTTTCTATAAAAAATATGGCTTTCCTTTTTGCTAAAATTTTTACCGAGTAGTTTTATATTCTAGTTGATTCGAAGCAAGTATAAAGACATGATACTAAAATAAATTGGTAGGTTTGATAACGATTTTACGAGCTTGTAAACTGGTCATCACAATAAATGTCAACGTTCAAGGGGGTGAAAGAAAGAGGTCTGGGATGTATACGGGTGCCGGTATCCCGTCAATTCTTTTACTCGTGCCCTTTAAAATTTCTCGGGAACACGAATTCGATCCAACAAAATAGAAGATAGAACGGCTTGTACTGCGATATACATATTTCTTACCTGAGAAAAATACGGTGGTAGAACGCATCGTTGATCATCGAGACGTGAACTCTGCACCCTTTCCAGCAATTCGAATAAATCTTGCGTAGTACTCTGCAACAAAGAGGCGGATTATTTAGTAATAATTCTTCAACCGTAGTTTCTGCGATAGAAATTACGGTATTATGTGTTACTTCACAAGGACGTTGCAATATCTTTAAAATTGATAGAGATATAAATGATAGGATTATTGATGCAAAAAAATGAAATAAAATAAAAATGGAATCTCATGCAGGGAGATTCGCAAAAGTTAAATTAACACTTTATCCTTCGCCAATTTGTACACGCTATTATAATTCTAATTAAATCTCGAGAAAAGGGACTGCTCGTTTAACTTTTATTACTTTTCCTTCAACTTTATTTTATTTTCATTGAACGTTATTGAGAGAAAAATTAATTTTAATTTATCACAATTAATACATGAAATATATCTTGACCTACGGATAAGGTATGAAATTTTGGAACAACTTAAAGTTCATACAAGTTAGTGTCACGAATTGTTCATTTTTAGTTATTAACCTTTCGAGAGGCGCAGGTAAAATGTCAAGTGACGTTATCCCTCGATAAGTGGCCATTGATTATACTTCCCGTTATAATTGTGAAATGCAGGTGCAACGTGATGTGCATGAATGAATCTACCGATTACAAAAAATATGTAACAATGGGTGTAAAATAACACAAGAACACAGTAATAAAATTCATTTTGAATAGAAGATTCAATAATACAAATGAATATAATATTATAGTATCTAACAATGATTCAAAGTGTACTATACATTTTCATTAGAACTTTTTTGTTTTATTTTACAAGTACCATCTACCCTTAAAATATTCAACCCTCTTTTTAACACTCTGTATACATTTACAATTTCTTACCTTTATTTTCTCTTGGTTGGTACCTTGAACATCTTGTCTCTCATCCTCCAGCGCGGCACGCCGGGATTCAGCCTCACAATACACGGATTGTTCCAGTTGCTGTCTCCTGAAAATAAGAAAAATACTAATTAGAATATAATTCTAAATATCAGAATAATCAAAATTTATCTATATGAATAGAATCATGAAGATACCTAGAATTCCATAAATTTCATATCATAATAATAATTATAGTACAGTAGACTCTTGTTATATTGCCACGTGAGCAATTTGACGTTCACATGGATTTTAAAGAATACCAATGCCATCCTCTCTCCATCATAGTCTATGAAAATGATACATTTTTATTTCTCCCATCCTCTTCAAACGAGAATTTGGAAACTTGACAAATTTTTCACTCCTACATTCTCGTCGGCGACAATATAACGAGAGTCTAATGTATTTTAAATTGCAGTAATTAAATTCCACATGGTTTATAATATAAAAATGTATCCCTAAATTTAATGACAAGAATTAGTAATTTCTCAACAAATGTTAAATGAAATTTTCAGATATAATTCCATCAATAATTTTTATTAGGTATATCAAAGAATATAAAATTGAATTTAATTTTATGAAAATCGATACTCTACGATTTAGAATTTAGAGCACACCGCCATTCAACTTTCTTTATCTAAATGCTACTCTATTTTTGACGCTCTTCATCTGCTATCGCAACGTATTGAACGGTTTAAATTGAAAACAAGCTGAAGCGAAGTCTCAAGGAGCAGATGGGTCGATACAGACTTTTCTTAGCGTTCTCGAGAAAGTCGTGAAGATCACCTAATTCGATGCTCCCCCATGAAGGTTCGATCGTCTGAAACAAACGCACATCTGGCGGCAGCTGCTAACTTTTCGACCAATGATCACGATCGCATCTTGACGTCTAACTTTTCGTCTAGTTGAGGTCAGCAATCTATACAATATTGATCACCTGGACTCTATAGTATATTAACTCTTTCTAAAACGTCCATTGGTAGTCGTATAATATTACAAGCTATATATTCCAAAATTTTAGACCAAATTATTATTTTTAATTTTGAAATAAATCATTAAGATATAGTAACATGGCTATAAAAAGATAACAGAGTAATTTTTCACGCATTAATTACAATTTATTAATTATTATTTTTGCAGCGTTGATTATCAAATTCTATGAATAATTTATTATTTGGTATAAATAAAAATATAAAATTGCGAAAATCAGAGATTTCGTGAAATATAAAATTATTAACATAATAAAAAAAGAAATGCAAGATTCATCAAAATAATGAATATGAATTTTGCAATACGTATTGCAAATAAAATGGCATATCATTCTTGAATAATACGTTTCATAAAAACTGCTATACATAATATAAAATTGATTAATTCCTATATTGTACCGTCATTGTAGTGATACAATTCTGTTCGACTCTCTTCATAAAGAACTTCACATTATACAACAGCGGAGAATCAAACGAATGTTTCGATTTTATCATTCGAAGTGGTTGTTCGCCACCTCATCTCGACAAAAAGACGGGAAGAAAGAATAATCAGGGTGGTGCACGATGAATTCATGCAACTCATCCGACCGTTCAAATACAATCGATGGATTTACGTTCTGTCAATCGATCGATCGATCCTTCGTGTCCTCGTTGTTTCATAATACCATCGTGATAGATAAAGGAAGAACCGTCCTTTCAATCGCAGAGAAAGGAGAGCTGTGTGACAGTAATTTAAATAATCTGACTCCGTAGGAGATTCGTACCGGCGTGTCTCGTAATTGCTTTTCATTTCCTTGTCAATTCGATTACGACATAAACTTGGGTCGAATTAGGACCCTAGTAATTCCATCTACTTATTTTCTGATCTGTTGCCTATCATCCCGTCTTACCTACTTTGTATCAATTTCACTGGATTATAGGACTTATAAGTATTTTTCAAAAATACTAGTCCCTCATTTGTCATATCTACTTATTTTTCGTATACTATTTCAGCATACTGAAAATGTCACTTCACTCTTTATTGATTACGTTAGAAGTTACGGGTTAGAAATAAAAATTATTACTATAATAATAATAATTCTTGCAGTTAAAAATATTGAAATTCTAAGCTTGGATTTGCCACAAAAAATTATTTAAGAGTGAAAGACAAGGGTCCGAAATGACCATTGGTTAACCCATAACTAATCTATAAACCATAAGTGCAATATTGCTCTGATTCTTCCCTTCTCATATTTAAAATTTTCTGTAATTATTTTCCTAATTAGAATTACAAATAATGAGCAATGAAATAACTTTTATTTAAATAATTAATTATTTCACTAAAATAAATCATAAGAAAAGTTAAAAGTAGAAATTAATTTTTTGCTAGTAAATTTAAAGTTTAAAATACTGAAAATTTTGTTAAAGAAGAGAACAAGATGGTCGGTAGAGATTAGGTTGGATATCCACAGGGGATTTAGAGATTCAATAACAACGGGAACACGATGTAGCCAGCGGTTGGACATTGCGAAAGAAGGTCGAACGAGCGAGAAAGCGGACAACCAAGCCAGTCTACCTCGACAAGGCAAATCGGCGAGCTTCTAAAACGAACCGCAATCTTTCTGCGACTGGCATTTATCGTCGTATCTGTCGATAATCGCGCATTCCGCTTCGTCGAACGCCATAAAGGATCGACGGTGTTGTTCGAATCGCGGGTTATCCTTCGACGGATCCTGAAAGGACTAGGTTACAAGCAAAAATTCAATTTCTCTAAGTGCAACGTTATTTTATAAATGACAAATTAGGCTTTACTAATTAATTAATTAATTACTATCTGCCTTGTTAATATTTCAATTTTTTCAATTAACCCTTGGATGGCGGACCATGAAGAAAGTACCGATTTTAATTTAATTTTATATTTCATATTAATTTTATTTTCCAAATCTTACATTGTTCTTTGAAAAATTATCTATTTAATTTTAGATTAATATCCTTGTATACGTTTCATTAGTTAAGATCATAATTGACCTAGGCTCCGCTGTTAAATTCACTTGTAATTCATAATTAAATTAAAATGAAGATAATTTGAAAATATCTCAAGAATTAACAGAAAACTTGTTAAATACGCTTAATAACATCAAATTAATTTATTTCTCCAATATCAAACAAATAAAATTTCATGTTTATTCATTAATGCCTGCAATGATTACAACCATAAAAGCTTTTGTCGTATACTTCCAACAGCCAGAGTTTACAGAATGTTAGGAGCACTCAAGGAAATTGCTCTGAAATTAACCGGAGTGGTATCAAGTTTGCATCACTAAAGCAAACCGCGATACCTACTTGCGAAATATCGGAAACGATTAGCTATCCTCAATGAAAATTCCAGGTACTGTTATCATTAAATCGTTATCGTAACCTTCCGCTGTCGCATGAATACGAAATCAGACCTCGACAGGGTGAAACGTGCAAAACGAAGACTTTACACGCTCGATTTAAAAAAAAAACTACTCGCTCGGTACTTGGTAATGAGAAACACTCGCTCGTCGATTCGTAAAAATGTCAAAAGCTTCTTATGATCTGTAAAACGAAGGAAAAATAGAGGGAACGTTTCATTGTTGTGAACGTTGATGACTTAATTTCTGGAATTATCCAGCTCGTAACGAGCGCACGATATGCATCGGTGCATAATGCTCGCATCCCGTCGATGTAGAAAAGCTGTCGGCAATTAGTTTGGAATCACGATGTACCAGTTAAGCGAGACGGATGAACAGCGACCAACATGTTCCCGATGCAGCATGTCGGACTCGTCGAGAGCGACATCGATCAGAAACGAGCATCGGTAATAACAGTCGTTAGACGGATAGTGAAACTAATCAAAACGCGACAAGGGATACAGTTACGATACCGATCGTTGATCGATTCAACCGATACTTTCGTATCGTCGATGCATCGGACATGATTATTCGTTGCATTGTGTACCTAGACTCTGAGCAATTTCTGTTTTCGGTGCAATATCGCCTTTGCAACCAGCCACGCTAATCCTATGCGATTTAAATCTTTTATTTTTATGAGAAAGAGTTATAGAGATCGATTTGATGGAAATATGTATTGATGTATTGAATTTCAAAACAAACGAAATAAATTATACCCAAAAGGTGCTCCAAACTTCATTAATATTCAGATTTTGGTCCTAAGCATTTTAATTAGCCATGCTGTCATTTAGAAAGTTAAAATTGATCACCAATATTAATGATCTTTGTTTAAGAACTGATAAATTACAATAAGTATTTCTTTCTATTTCCTACTTGTCAGTTTGAAATTAATGTTTGTAGTTTCATTGACATGCTGAAAATGACAGCGTTACGCAACACCGTTTAAAAGTATAGTAGTTATTTAAATTTAAAATGAGAAAGAAACCAGTAGTTTCTCAGTGAGAAGGCAAGTTACATTGGACTCGTAAAGGAAACACCAACTGTGTGCGCCATGATTCCCTGGGGTCAGTCTTTTCATTTATTGATTCGCAAGTGAATTCAATTTCAAACCACAATTGGAATGCAACACGTGTTTTACATGTATATGAAATGCAGATAACTGCACCAATTGCAATATTGATTTTAACGAAACGAGTAGGTATGTTCATCCGAATCATATTTCAATTATAAATTTTAATTTGAACAAATAAAATCGTGCATTTTGCAAAATTACGAATTCTACATTTTAAAAAATGAATTTTATTTTGATAAATATTTCATTCGTGAAATAAGAATATTCCTTTGTTTATTAACATGTTCACTGGCATGATATATCATCCATATGAGTGACATTTTAATTTCCATAAAAATGTAATTTATGTAATTATTTTTATTAAACTTTAAAATAACATATCACAAGTGTCATTTTCTGACACTTTTCTGTCATGAAACCGTGTTAGACTTCGTATATGTATTTTAAAATCATTCATGGTTTCCTGTAATTGGCAATTACCCACTTTATATAAAAATTATTAATGAAACATGTGTGTAATTATTTTTGTAAAATCTTAATCTTTAAATTAATACTACATACATAAGTGTTAATGAAATATTTTCATGTTATGAAA